AATTCCACTGCTTATCTTTTTATAAGTTTTCAGAGCTTTTCATACGGTGTAATCACATCTTTGTGGAACATTGAGATGGCAGTCATCACAATATGTTAGGCATAACTTACAAATGAAGCATTTCGGACGGTAATGAAGAGAAATTGATTAATCTTTCCATATCATAACCTTTGATTCAACTGAGCTTCAGGAAGGCGGGGCTTTATGACCTAAGTGAGCCCGCTCGCGTCCGCGACGCTTCTGCGTCTCTCGCGCGACTGCTCTCTGTTCATTACCTAGCCTCAATTAGATCACGAAGCCCCGCTGAAGCCAGCTTCACAAAATGATGGTCAAAGACAGTGATGATCGACTGTTTTATTCTTGTCCAGCAATTTTCAGTGCAAGACGTCCTGCCCGTCCCACGAAAGGTCTTGTTTCGAGAGAGTAGCAATCCAATTCTTTTTTGTAATCGGCGAAAATTTATGCAAAAACACCTTTTTGTAAGGAAGAAAGCGCAAGTGTCGGTAGGCTTGTTTGCCTACAGAGGATTCTATTTTTGGAAGCTAAGAAATTGAAGTAGATCGCTTCCCATCGAAATAGTGGGTTCATTATAAAGAACATGATTACCTCTATGAGAGATACACATTTTGCAGAAAATGCACCGCCTGCATTTTGCACCGCCTCTTGAAGAGATAAGGAAGAGAATGAAGACGCGTTGAAGATATAGAACTACCCATGTACTATTATATTAGGTTGGCGAATAATTTTTGTTACACTTTTCCTGTTCATTCTAGAAAAATTCAGAAGTTTTTTGAAATCTCTAGATTTGCTCTAATTGTAGCTCACAACAAGGCCAAGACATCGGCGTCATTGCTGCTGGAACTATTCAGCTAGTTTACGACAGTTTTGTAGACATATTTAGAAATCTCGTTCTTTGATTATTTTTGCTGCGTCCAAGTTTGTTTCACTCTTATAATTTTAATTTCTCTCTTTTTTAATCGAGTCGTCTCAAAAGTATTTCCGCTTTTTTGGACATGTGCCCCATTCCACGAAACAAAGTTCTATAATATTACATGCTGTTTTGAATGGCTATCTTTATTCTGCAATTCAACAAACGAACTCTCAGATTTGACTAAGAATTACAACCCACGGTTTTGCCATGGCTAAGTTCTACACTTTTTTTCAATTTTTGTACTGATTCCCTGGAGAAGTCCCAGTAACAGATAAACAGATCAAACTCTTTGAGATAAGAAACAATTCTTCCTCCTTCCATAGCTTACTTTCCAAGGTTTTCAAAATTATTCTGATGCTATCAAATTCCATATATGGTCAATTCAAACCTCACAGAAGATCATAACCGGCAAGCAACTCGGTTGTAAATCGATACAAAATATTCTCCTCTTCCAACGGGATGCTTTTTGTTTTCGATTTGTTAACTTGTGGGGGATTTAACAAGTCATGTTTTCAAAGGCGCCCCAAGCTGTATCCGGAAAATTTAAGATTTGATATTTCGAGTCCCAGAACGTTCATGTGCTATTTTAATCTAGTACTGAATCATAATCCACATTTGAAAGTATCAGAAATCGAGAATTTATTGGTTTTCGCAATCTGCATCTTAGGCTTGCTTATCGCGGCTCGCTATCGACCGCTCCTCGCAGCATGTGGCCGGGAGCACCGTGTTGCCGCGCAATTTGGTCGTGAGCACGGTCGCCGCGATTTACGCGGCTACCTTGTTCGCTTCCGGACCACCACGTAGGTACGCCCCCAGCCATCGCTATAAATAGCGCGTACGCGCACCATTGCAGCTCTTTCTTTTTCATCTTACTACTATCGACGTGCTGCCATTGATTGGTTGGGTTTCCACGATATCGCCGTCGTGTCTACGTCCCCGTGCCTCGAGCGATTTTATGGATCTTCGACGGATTGTTTGGATGGACGCGCGAGGATAGAATTCCTCTAGGACGAGGAACATCAAAAAGTGCGTCGACGAGCAGGACTCGTTGGAAGCTTGGTTCAATTAGTTGGTTAACATCATGGGGTTGGTGCTGCCGTGCCGTCGCTGCTGCCTTGGCGGCTAGCGCGGCCGGCCTGTGGGTAGCTCCTTGGAAGCCGGGAGAGAGTGAGAGTGTGCTAGTGTGAGAGTGTAAGTTCGTGTATTCTTTGTGTATTTTGGTCTAGTAAATTTATATATGTTCATGTTTTGAACGTAGATTAGGCGTAACACGCCGTTGTGGGCGAGGGCCCACCCGCAACCGCGGAAGTCCCTTGGGGACGGGAGCTGAGGCGCAAGGCAGTCGAGCGCTAGGCGAAGGGGCGTAGAGCACCGAGCCGCAACACTGCTAAAATTCGATTGTGATGTTAAGAATTCTGTTAAAAAATTATGGAGACTTGTGGGGGGTGGGGAGGGGAGGGTGGGGGAATGAAAAAAGCTGCTTTGTCCTATAGAATTTGCTTTACTTATCTGCTACTTCGACTTCCTCGCGAAATCAGTACAAAAATTCAACAAAACAGCAAATCTTGACCTTGGTAAAAACCACGGGCTGTGGTTTTTCGTGATTTTCTGAGAGCTCGTCTGCTGAACCGCATCACCTAAACAATCGTTTGAAAGAGCTTGAAAAACGCATCGAATGCTGCCACAATCTACTACAAACCTTCGTTCAGCCGAATGTGGCGCTTGCTCAGGAAAATGCGAAAATACTTTTGGGACGATTTGACAGAATGTGTTTTGGCGACTTCTCTTTTACAGTAGCTGGCAGCACACTGGTGCCGCTAGCGTGTCAGAAACGAGGATGAAAAACATATCAAAAAATCCAAAATTTATCGAAAAAGTTTTCTTTCTGTGTGTATCGTGCAACTTGATACGGAAAAATTAAATATGAATTTGAAATCCTCATATTCCTTTTGTTGAAATGCGAATGTGCGCAAACATGGCGCACCATCAACTCAAATTAACGTGTGCAGACGTAATTGTACCATTCCTCTATATTCTCAAAAACTATGGACTTTACCCTGCCCGGCTACCACATCGTCCAGTTTCTCTCTCTGATCACCTGGAAGAATGCCAGCCCGTTGACAAAAACGGCCATAAAACGTACTTTCATCCATAAAGTGGGTGTTTCGCGCAAGGAGAGTAAATGTGGCAGCACCGCTAAGTAGAGCCTTGCACCGTCAACACGCCCTTAACATGAAATTTCTTGAAAGCCTCTTAGATTTGCAAAGGAACATAAATAAAAGTGTAACAGAATTTATCCGCCAATCTCGCGGCGTATCAGGGTCCTCCAAAGGCTCGCCGCTTCTTCTCCAGGCGCTCCCGTGAGAGGTAATATTCACTTCGCGCCTACCGCGCACCTACGTCGCACCTATCTCGCACATTCCTGCCTTAGTTCTCCTCCGGACGATGCCTTGCTTCTCCTGGCATTAATTAGAAAGGAAGACACATAAGCGACGAGTAAATTATCTCCAAAAAAATAAAAGTGCTTTGAAAGCAGACATTAAAACAAACAGACTGACAAAAATAGTGTTTGTGCTTGTGGGCTGAAGGTGTGGTAGGTGAGATTAGGGGCATTAAACGCTAACTGAATGTTTTATCAATTTACAATACCCCTTTGGAAGCATGAAAATAAAGATGAAAAGATCTGTATCATTTTCTTTCAGAGAAGATGTGCACAGAAGAGAAATTTGAGCAAATATAGCAGTAAGGAAGGAACCAAACAATTCAAGTGATAAATTTTGCTTAAGATTTAATTTAGTTCTGAGTAACATACCCATCTGAATATCACTGCTCATAGACTAATTCAAATGGACAGCTCAAATGCGAGAAAAGATGACTCTAAACTGTCTTCCGAAGCTGTACATTTTCAAAAACATCTGTAACTTAACCCTCGTCTTCGAGGAAACATGATCAACTTCCACGCTATTCTCGCCTACCACATCTTTAGTGACTACGATCGGAAGCACTTTCTAAACTCATTTTTTTGGTAATTATTAACTCGTCGCTTATGTACTGTCCTTTCTAATCATGCCAGGCCGGGGGGAGGGGGTGGGGGGGAAGGAGGGGGGGGGGGGGGAGGGAGCTGCAAGATATTGCGAGATAAGGGCGACGTGGGTGCGAGGTAGGCGCGAAGTGAATATCACCTCCCAGGAGCGCGCCTGGAGAAAAAGCGGCGAGCCTTTAGAGGATCCTGCACGCCCTCCTGCCAATCTTATATAGTAAGTTTCAACTCAGTTTTGGCGGAATGAGGATTGGCGGCGTGCGCTTCGCAACGACTCGCGCCGTGTTGCAATCTGCGTCTCTTCTTTCTCCTCTATCTCGCTGAGCAGTGGCGCTGCTCTACGTGAAATATTGCGCCTATACCGGGTCGAAAAAGACTGTACAAGCCTTTGTCAGTATAACTGTTTACCTTCTACAAAAGCTGACTTTTGTGAAATATCATTTAGGTCCTCTCTTCCGAGTTTGGGTGCTGAAATCGCTATTTCTCGACAACCAGCTCTTATAATAGGCTAAGAATCTACATCTGTTACAACGGCTTGTAGTAAAAAACAACTCATGGAATTTACGGTCAACCATTGTTTACCCACAGCGAAAAATCTCGTATCGAGGAAAAAATGCAGCACAAGTGAATTACTGCGTGAAAACATGAATGTCATCTTGTAAAGCTTGCTTTGCTCTGTCGCATTACCGTTCGTGCATTCTTGCCGTTCGCCTGGTTGCGGTGTCATAGCAAACAAATAAAAAGCGCCATTGTTTTCTCAACAACTTGATAGTTTTTTGTACAAAGTCACAACGATAGTTCGTTTCACAAAGACGAGGAATGAGTGACATTTAGGACAAATCGTTTATGTTTCCAGTTATTTAATTCCATTAGATTTTCTTGTTTTTATTTCTCCGGATGATAGTTGAGATCGTACTGATGTCATAAGGATAAATATGTTTTGAACAACTGTGCGAGTGCGTAGGCTTACTTGAAGTCAATATGCCTCTACCACTGTAAAGGGTGGTAGAGTAATCCGTAGTCTTTTTAACGCTGAATCTTATCCTTCATTGACAGAAACACGCATTTAATGAAGCGATAAATACAAAAAATGTACATTCATAGTAAACAAGCTACACAGTCTTGGATTGGCTACTCAAGATCAACCTCGTTATCCCACAATATTGAGCATACCGCAGTAATCAGAGATCCCCCTGAAAAAAATCAAATTTGACGTCCAGGTTTCAAAGTGCCCAGGTACTTACTGAATGCCAGCCTGACTTGAGCACGTGCACAGGTCACCAATTTCTTTCTTCCAATTCACCTGTCGAGAGCATTGTCGAATTGCTAATTTCGCGTTCCTATCGGCGATATTTGGCTCGCAGCTGTAATTTGAATATGCGGTACAAGCCATTAATTCACTTGCTTGTCTATGCGACATATTTTTTTCGAGTGATTCGGTATTCATTCAGAGTTCGTTAATGTAAGGATGCCACATCGCTTAAAGGCACCATCCACCCAGAATCTCGACTTCCATGTTTTTGTCGTTTCGGGGCCTACTCATGTCCCTGGTTCCAAATATATAGTCGACAATCCGCGAAAATCCCGAAAATTCCAATTCCGGAGAACCCACAGACCTGCTTTTCAGGACGGTGATTGGATGAGCGCGCATAAATGGGCGGGCATGGATGGGGAGGGGCGGGCATGGATGGGGGTCCTCGTGCATCTTCGCTATTCCAAAGCGATTTTCTCGCTTCCAAAGCGGCATTTTGCGCCGCGACTTGGGCATTGGATTGATAGGGGGCCCTACTGTTATATGCTGCCAAAAGCTCAACACCCTCAACTAGGGTGGACGGTGCCTTTAACCTGAACAGTCAAGAAGAAGCAGACTATTGTGGAGATATAGAGTGTCAGCGATTACGCGAAAGTCCGCAAATTCGCTGACATCCCATGTTATCCTTGCTAGAAATCGAAGCGAGGGTGTTGGATAATTATTTAAGCTCGCTTCAGTCAACAAGCTATTATTGCATTCCGTCCGCTGTGACTGCCATCTGTAACATATATCGTAGAAACTTCATGATTGATCAAAATAAATAACACTGTTTTGAATGGACAACCCTGAGGCCCGTATACCCGTACATCCTGCGAGAGGGGAGGGGAGGGGATCGAGAGGGATGCTTCATATCTCGCTACTCTAAATACCTTTTTTCTTATTCCTCTATCTGGCTTATGAAGGTTCTCATGCCCGGATGTCTGCGCATAATGGATGCAGGTTATTGCCAAACAAGATCAGATTTTTGCTATTTTAAATGATTCTCTGGGGATCTCCACCCAATCTCAAAGTCATTTAACTTCGTGAAAACTCGATGAAAATGCTGTTAAATTGTACTGAGGATATACACGGTGTCCCAAAAATGTGCCTACTGGATTGTTAATAACTCTCATATCAATGAGTGTTTCGAAAATCTTTAGGTACCATGTTGTAGAGCTGGCTTCAACTTAGATTCTCAGCATAAAGCGAAACACCGACCTTTCTTCGTTACCGTAAGATTAGTGAAGCAACTTTGAAAAGGGTTTTTGTAATTGAGAGTCATAATTCAGGGCCCAGCAGGAGGTGGCGCTTGAGATTTTTGAAAACGAAGTCCCCCTTGACATTGCAGGTAATTACGAGATACCTTTTGTGGTGTTTATAGAAATACGGCTAATAATCTGCAGCGAACGATAAGTGAATGGAAGTCAAAAATAGACAAGAAAAATCGGAGATAAAACTTTTATATATGATTCAAGGGCCGTAGCAAAGCAGGGGAGACGAAATTTGGTCAAGATAAGTATACTCAGGAATAGTTCGAACTGAAGAATAGATTCATGTAAAAAATTTTGAAAAATTATGTGAAGAAGGGAGAGAAATTATCTTTGTTTGGTTCCGCGCAACCTGAGGGTGCTCCCAGGTTGCGCGGGAGCAACCTAAATTAGAAAAACATTTACAACTCTTTTCATTCACATGATTTTCTCTTTTTCATACTTTCCTTTTGATCATGGTCGCGAAGCTACACACCAACTTTGGTGGCTTGGTTTTGCTTACCGGTTGTAAACAAACTGATTATCTATTTTTTGTGCATAAAAATTGTGTCTCAACACTTGAAATCGTGTGCACACAGGTCTGAGCGCTTATCCTGTTTGTAACGTGTTAGTCTACCTGTTACTTGTGAAATGACGTCAGATTTTGATTAAGGGCTTACTAAAGGTTAGCTTTCGCCCACTATTATTCCTGAGAACTCTAGCTTCCTTTTGCTTTTCTCTGAAAAAACGACATTCAGCATGTGAAAGCGCAACCTCTGCTGGGCCCTGGTCATAGTTCACCTCTAAAAAAGGATTAAAGAAGGTAAAAACTCTTACACTCGGTTAATCGGGGTCGTCAATTCCAAATATGAAATTCGCACTTTACCGCAATGCTTTCTTAGTATTTTATGCCAGATATAACGTAACGACAAATTTTTAATATCCGTCGAAAATTTGATTAAGCCATTCAAAAGGCTCTGCGGACACGCAAAAAGTTATGTAGTGAAGTCATGCATGAAAACCTTGCTACAAAATTTTCAGATTTTTTGAATTTTTTTTCGAACGGCCTATCTCACAGTGGCGCCGCGCCATATGCTGCAAGTTCCTATCGTAATATTACAGTAGTGAAGTAAGACCGGTAAAATCGCTCATACTGTGAATCAGTTCAAGCCAGCTCTACAAAATGGTACCAAATCAGGGCCCGGCACCGATGGTTTGGAGTCAAACTGGACTTCGTTTTTGGAGTTAGAAGCAACGGGGACATCGTTTTTATGAGGTCCTGGAGGAAGCGCCAAAAAAAACACGACGAACTTGTCAGGTTTCACGAGTTGAACGTGTTCTTTCGCAAGCGCGCGAATTTCAAATGCAAGACTCAAACAAACAAATGGCTTGTTTACAGCGCACAAACAATCACATGGCTCCGAATTTGGGCTATGAGTATACAATATTACTCCAAACTATGTTATATAAAAAGTTCCCAGAACTTATGTGTCCTAATATCCATTCTCGAGTTTGTTGGTTTCTAGACCAACTACCAAACCAACTGGGTTGGTTCGGAGCATAAATATCGTTGAGTTCACATACGTTTTGGACCTTTTTGATTTGGACGATTAGAACTGTCAAAAATCTATCATATAGTGAAGAGAGCGGATCAAACCGTTGCCTCTGCTTTTTTTTTGAGTCAAAAGTAGTATAATTCTACGCGTTGATAGATATCGCGCTCCAATCATTTGCGGTGTCCTTTGAAATATGTGGCGAAAAATGCATCGCAGGATCGTTGAGGCTACAGATTTGGTTGGCCTAGGAGATTCTCGACATTCCCAGCATCAAAATGGTACTATACCTAATGGCAGAGCCTTTAATCGACTCAAAATGTTTTCTTTTTGCTAATTTGTTATATTACATACCTCAGAATGCGCTTTTTTCGCTTTTTTGTTGCTATTTTGATTGAGTAAGGGTTTCCCTGCTGATTTTCACGTTGGGAAAGACTTCGTAAATTTTCGCGAAGTCATGGGGGACTTCGTTTCCAAAAAACCTCCAAACCAAGGCGTGCCGGGCCCTGTACCAAATCCTTCCCCAAAGATTTCATGACAAGAGGGTAATTAACAATAGGCACATTTTTGGGAACACTCTTACTATGGCGCTGCTGGAATGTTTTCGATAGAAGAAATGGAATTTGAAGACCGTGAATTTTTGATATCCCTAGCTCGCGAACAGCGGTTCATCGAAACCATTGTTCGCAAGCTAGCCGAAACGTCAGTCGATAAAGAATTTACTAATCCGGCGTGCAGCTCAAGCAGTTTCAAGAAAGTTCATGGAAAATTTCGATTTCCTGAGATTTTGCGAATTACTACTACAAACATGTTTACTTTAGCAGTGCCATAGCATATCCTCTGTACAATTATAATGCATTTTCGTTGAGTTTGTGAGAAGCTATAGGGCTTTGGAAGTGCGAGGTAATCCCCTGGGATTCCCCTGGGATCACACAAAACATCGAAATTCTCAGCTTGTATGACAATGTCCTATCATTTACTATACTCAAATATTAGGACATGTGAACCTTCATAAGAGCTAGAGCTGAAACTAGAGAAGACTATAACAGATATAGTCGACTTGTTGACGGCACGGAGTGGACATCATTGCGGAGCACGCGCCACGACGTATAACACTTGCACCGGCACAAATTCGCCATTGTATAGGGGCCTGCGGGATCGCGAGAGTCGGACGTGCGTACGGCAATTGCGCCGCGATGTGCGTCCGACTCAGGCAGGTGCCAGAGACTTATCCTGTAATAGGTTCATTCAGTTTACTACCTTTGCTGTTGGACACCGTAGTGATTTGACCTATGAACCGAACGAACCGGCTGAAGCGGATGAATCTGGCACCTGCCTTAGTGACACCGGACGTGCGCGGCGCAATGGCCGTACGCACGTCCGACTCTCGCGATCCTGCAGGCCCCTATACAAAACTCGCTCTCGCAACATTACAGCCGCGCCGCGCGTGGCCCGCAGCGTTTGAGCAGTCCGTGCGGTCAACGAACTAACGATAACTATAGAAGCAAGATGTGACACATTCCCTCTCACACCCCCTACCCTCTCCCGCGGGGACGTACGTGCATAGAGGACTAAAAGTTATTATTAGCTAGTTCGCAGGTCTCGTTGCCAAATGAAGTAAATTAGATTACTTGGCCACGGAAGGGACTTGACCATCCTCACATGCACTCTGTCTCGCAAAGTGCGGTGAATCAAAGTTGTGCTTACGTAAACGTACGGCTTGTTTACGATGAACAATCAAGAATAACACCAGGTCTGGCTTAAATAGGAAAATCTATCCACCCATTCGAAACTCAAACCTCGTTCTCTTCATTTTTTCTGTTGCTCTCCCCCGTCCTATTTTTGCTTATTCATTTTGATTGATATATAGAATATATAGAGCTACATTTCAAAACATCTCGTGACTTTCTGTGGAGTCAAGAGGGCTTTATGTACGAAATTATCGAGTGCCAAGTAATTCGAATGGCGAAGCATGAGCCTAGTGACGAGTCTCGAATTCCGCGGATTTTTTTTGTCGATATTAGCTTTTTGTCTCAAGAATTCTAGTTACCCATGGCCGGTTGACGAGCACCTTAGAACCTTCGAATGATCACAGCTTGCATTCGTCTTTTTTTTGAACTTTTTGTCGAAACTCACTTGTCAGTAGTACACTCTAAATAACTAGCGGTTACCTCGTTACATCAAACAACTAGAGAGATTGCAGCAAAGAATAAAGTGAAACTCTACAATTTTCAAAGTATATCACTGTTGTTCTTTGCCCTCACTTGACAAAAAAAATTACAAAAGCGGTTTAAGTTGTACGGCTGCCATGATATAAGCAGCGGTTGTAGAACGAAGGATCCCATCCGCCATTGGAAACCTATAGCTCATAAAGTGCACCGCGAGTACGTTATTATACTACTTACACCGAATAGTTGAAGACCCAAATGACATAAATAACGTGAGTGTTTCATACCCTTTCTTGTCAAAGCAGAATCCATCTTTATTTTTTTCAATGAAGCAATTCTTCACACAGCGTGCCACGGATGCTCCGGCGTGGACGACTTGCTGAACAAAAAGATTCTGAAAATAAAAAATTTTATTAGATTGCGATTGGTTAGTTTTCCACTAATCTACTGGTAGAACAGCAAACATCAGATCGTTAATAATCCACATTCTGAATATAGTCCGGTAGTTGTCCATCCAGTAATGTAGAGATCATAGCTCAAATAAGCGCTCTTTGAAGTTTCCATACGACTTTCTTATGGAGGCTTTTGAATATAACCTTGCCAAATATTCTTCCTCCTCACTTCTGATCATGAGTTAAGGATTGTTCCGAGGAGAGAGAGGAGCTCCAACCTCCACCCTATCATAATAAGCTCCATCCTTCGAGGACAATTTTCATAAGTTGCAGCTAGGCTACACGATATGTGTAGAGGTGCAGGTTTGTTGCGGATGTCGGCGCAGAACCACCCTCCCCTCTCCTCTTCGCCCCCTCCCCCCGCGTTTCTGGCAACACATAGTCTTGGCGCAATAGAAGCTGTGCATACAACAACCATTTAATTGTTTTCTTATTGCTTTTGAGCCAGTGATCTTCGGAAAGTATCACACGAGTAATTTTGCGAATTAGGCCGAAGTACTTCTATCACGTGTTTTCAATGATCTGTAGCTCTCTCGACTTCTAACTTCTACCTTCTCGATATAGAAGGGTAGGAAAGCCAGATTAACATGTGTTGAACTTGGAAGAGCACAGAAGTTGGAGCTTTCTGAATCAGCATAGCTACACGACAAACCTGTCAAAAAATTAGAGTTGTGTTGAGCCATAACTCTATTTTTGATGGGTGCTTTTCGCTGACCAAGAGCTTTCCACTATCTTTCTAGCTTAGCAGTGTTTGCTACTCAGGGTTCCTTTATACTACGCCGCAGGACGCAGCAGCCTGCCGCAGCACGCCGCGTCCTGCGCCGGGTGCTGCTGAAGTCGCAGTGAGAATATAAGCTCACGGCAACACAGCTTCGCCGGTTATGGAGGTACATCTATATTTGCTGCACGTTCTCCGAGAGGTTCCTTTACAGCGAGCGAGCTTATATTTTCACTGTGCTGCTGCGTGCTGCGGCAGGCAGCTGCGTCCTGCGGCGTAGTATGAAGGAACCCCAAGCAAATGCTTCAAAGGTCTTTGAGGCAATCCTCCCTATAACTTTCTCTCACGTAAGTGTAAAAGTGAGCAGCGAGTTTTCGTCCATCCTTCACATTTCACCCTACATTGTGACGTCGCTGGGTTCTCCCACCAATGCTAGCTTTACGAGGTTGTCCCTTCTGTTATTCAGTTCTACCACTTACAGGCTTTTTAGATGTCCCCTCTACTGCTTTGCTGGACTCTTAAACTGCTTGAGTGTCCGCATTGTTGCGCTATGAACTATTACTGTAAACCCCAAGACAATTTCTGAAGCGCGTTTGCTTTTATGGAATTGATCTGCTTTGGATCAGCTTGCACCCATGCATTCCTAACTATTTATTATCAAACTGAAGCAAACTCAACAAATCAACTATCGCTTTCATTCTGCTTGCACTATAGAGGTTTAAGATAAGTCAAAGTACGTTAAACAGCAAGGCTGTCGTACAGTATTCATAGCTTTAAAACCCAATAGAAGCTGCGCTAATCACTTTCTTCACAGTGCTCAAGAAGAAAATTTGCAGGGGCATTACTGCAACCTCACTCTCAAGAAAGATATTGACTGCAGCACAGAAATCAGCTACGGATTGCTTCAAGATTATGCTACCGCTCGGTTCCAAATCCGCGCTACGTGCTTCGGTCGCAGCAGCAGGCTGCATTACACTATATGCCTTACCCATGCAATACAATGCTGACCTTCATCCGAGATTAGGTCACTGGGACGACAAATCTCAAAATTCCCATGTGTTTGAGGATGAGCAGGCTGATGTGACATTGAACTCGCGAATGAAAAATCATAATGATGTAATCGAACCAGGATACGCTGAAGATTAAGCACGTTCCCCCTAACAAGGGTTAGTTACGCTCTGAAATATAATGTAAAGAATGCTTTGATTAATGCAAGATCAAGCACTTATGAGTTGCGCATTGATTATCTCTACATCACTGCACACAATAAACTACCGGAATATTCCGGCACCACTACAAGATACCTACAGAAGCGCAGACAGCAATAGACCCTAGTGGTTCGTGCAGCAGGAGTGAGAAACAAAAAGAACTGCGTCACGCTAACCTGAAGCTGTCTGCGCTTATTCAATACTAGCTGGCTTACCCGGCTCCGCCGTATCCGGACCAAACTTGGCACACATACACTTCGGGCCCCGGCGGGTGTCACAGTCCACTTTTCGTTATCGATCGATGTCGATTTTACCGATTTTTATCGATTTTTTTGCAGAGTTCACCTACAGGGCTAGGAGTTGGCACAGGGGGGAAGTGAGCATGGGGATTCCGAATACAATATTAGTTTTCAGGATCGTCCATTACTTTTATCGATTTTATCGATGTTTTTGTAAAGTTTGACCTGCGAGGCTGGGATTTTGCACAGGGGGGTAATCGAGCATGCTGATTACGAACACAATATTAGTTTTCAGGATCGTCCATTACTTTTATCGATTTTACCGATTTTTTTTGTAAAGTTTGAGCTACGGGGCTGGGATTTTGCACAGGGGGGTAATCGAGCATGCTGATTACGAACACAATATTAGTTTTCAGGATCGTCCATTACTTTTATCGATTTTACCGATTTTTTTTGTAAAGTTTGAGCTACGGGGCTGGGATTTTGCACAGGGGGGTAATCGAGCATGCTGATTACGAACACAATATTAGTTTTCAGGATCGTCCATTACTTTTATCGATTTTATCGATTTTTTGAAAATTTGAGCTAGGGGGCTGGAATTTGGCACAGGGGCGTAATCGAGCATGCTGATCACCCCCCTTGGGGATGATCAGCATGCTCGATTACCCCCCTGTGCCAACTCTCAGCCCCCTAGCTCAAACTTTGCAAAAAAATCGATAAAATCGATAAAAGTAATCGATAATCCCGAAAACCAATCTTGTATTCGGAATCCCCATGCTCGATTACCCCCCTGTGCCAACTCCCAGCCCCCTAGCTCAAACTTTGCAAAAAAATCGATAAAATCGATAAAAGTAATCGATAATCCTGAAAACCAATATTGTATTCGGAATCCCCATGCTCGATTACCCCCCTGTGCCAACTCCCAGCCCCCTAGCTCAAACTTTGCAAAAAAATCGATAAAATCGATAAAAGTAATCGATAATCCCGAAAACCAATATTGTATTCGAAATCCCCATGCTCGATTACCCCCCTGTGCCAACTCCCAGCCCCGTAGCTCAAACTTTGCAAAAAAATCGATAAAATCGATAAAATCGATATCGATCGATGACGAAAAGTAGCCTATGACACCCGCCGGGGCCCGTAGTGTATGTGTGCCAAGTTTGGTCCGGATCGGTTCAGAAATGGAATTTTCTATTCGGAACATACGTACACACAGACAGACAGACAGACAGACAGACAGACAGACAGACAGACAGACAGACATACAGACAAACAGACATTCAGCTTTATATATAAGATCTGGCAGAGAGTTCTAGTGGGAAGGTGTTGATAGCATTTGGTAGGTAAAGGACAATATGTCGCCAGTAAACTCCAGCCACGTGGACAGCATTCTTGAGCTATACTTGTAGGGCTTTGTTGCATCATGTCCGTGCGGGACCTCTTCCGGGACCTAAGGTCCTCTACCCCATTAGTAGCAAGCATTCAAACCCAAACTATTTATTTATCAGCTAGCGAGTCTCCCACTAGAACTTCTCTGTCAGCGTGCAAGAAGTTTTCTAGACGAGGTGATCCTTCAACTAATTATGTCTGGAACTCGCAAATACACTCTTTGAACTAGCATTCACTCGTCTAGAAAACATTGGCACGCTCGGAAATTCAGCGCTTTATCCATAACGCGGCTGTTTATACAGCACATTGCAGAGTGATTTCTTGGATAAAGCGCTGAACTTTATGTACCTATGCCTGACTGGAAGAAGTAAAGCAATTGACCTTCACATGGTTGGAAGTGATCGAATTGAGGAACGTCTGTATCTGCTCATTAATGACATCTTCGACTCGCTTGATCATATCCGGGTAATCGTAGGTTTTTACATGGACCATCTTCGCTTTTTCGATGTCATCTTCGCACCTAGATTTGCAAAATGAGTGCGTTCACATGAATGAGACATACGAGCATTTGTGAAGCAATGGGCATACTAAGAATACTGCTTATATTATCAATCGTTTTACCGCAAATGCTTGCATAATACACAAATTCCAAAAATAACATTCTAAAGGTAGAGATTCTATTTTGCATCAACATCAGCAGAATAGAGAAGCTTAGCTTATTAGTTAGGCTATTGCTATCCACACTGGATAGTGCGCAAAGTCGTCTGTGCCGCTTTTCGCGCTTTGTCAGAGTGTTTTATAGTGATTGAGCATTCGGACAACTCTGCTCATAAAGTCATGTACTAGAGACCTTCACTATGAGCGATGAAGGAAAGCAGAGCTTTACCCAAAAAAGTTAACCTGCATGCATCAAGTGAATTTGGTCGAAGTGTACAGGGTGAGCAATAGTTAAGTAAAAGAATACATATTGAAAAATGCATCCTCGAAGGCCTTTCCGGAAAGGAAGACTCTTATAACAATTTCTTTGCATATAGCAATAATGCTTCTCAAGAAACCAGTTCATGGACAATGCATGAGTTTCAGAAATCTAGGAAGGCTAACGTAAATTGATAAAGTAGAAACTGCCCGGATTTATCTCGTTTTAGAGTGTTTTTCGACCTGAAACCGTTATCGATTTGATCATCTCACGAGAATTAGACTAATCTATAATGTTGCGGGGTATCCTGAGAATCCGAGGAGCCCGTTCTGCTATTTCTTATTTGCTCGTCTACGCCTTTGCTTTTCGCGAGCTGCAGCTGCCCCGCTGTACCCAAACCCTCCTTCTCCAATGTTCGAAAAAATCGCTGCTATTCGCTTAACTCTGGGGCTTTTGAACCCACTCATAAGCTGACAACGACGCCTAGTTCAGTTTTTTTATAAGAGAGAAAAAAAGAAATCTGGCAAAAACCTTATTTTTGGAAATTTTTCCCTGTCTACGACTTGGTCCTCCTGACGTTTTTCTTCGTGCTTTCGCTATATTTTGCCTTTGCCCATTGAAACAAAGTCGTGGAACGATTTTGATTATAGCGGAATATATGTAACGAGCTGTAAACTCTGCGACTTCTCATAATGTTTTTTGGTTTCGCAATAACATTTTTAAAAGGCTTAGAGTTCTTGCACAGAATGACGAGCAAACGCGTACATTGCCGGAGACGAAAACCACAAGACGGGGAAAATTCAAAGGACGCATAAACTATGTTGACTAGAATATGCATTTTGACTTTAGAGAAAATATCTATTTTGATATGTCTTATTCAATGTGTCCCTTAGAGATCGCAATATCCAAATCATGCGTCTTTAACAGTAATGGAAAAAAATTCTTTTTTTTCCTGCTTTCCTAATCTTCGTAGAAAGAAAAATATACACTAAACAAATACAAATCAAAAAAATACACTAACATGGCCAAAAGAAGAATTTTTAAACCAATGTGCTTTTTTCAGTTTCCCACAGCTCTTGTTTGCTACTCTAATTTGAATTTTATTTTCCTTTAGACAACCTTCATTTTTTGCAGGGACAGGTCTCAAACAACTATTCACTTTTGGCTGTATCCCTAGACTATGAAAGGTATGCCTGGATTCAAGCTTACACGATCTAGACACTTTTTATTCCTAACATTTTTCAGTGTCAGTTCATCTATCGGCAAAAACGTCGTAAGAAGCACTTGTCTGTTAGATTCTCAAACATGTTTTTTAATGAAAGTGCGTGGTTATCCACGCGCTCCGAGGAAATTTTTGGGAAGCTCCTCGAAATTTTTGCTGGCCCATAACACCTAAACCTAGAAAAAGAGGGCGAGGCGGCAGCAACAACCCCGAAGACACTTTTTTCAAACTGATTTGAATTTTCTTTTTGAACAATTTCAAAAGTCGTCACAATCAGTTACAAGTTCAGATAATTCACTTGCACATTTTTATAACTCATGTAAGTAACTTTCAAAAAATTCGCGACCGCTGCTAGCTTCAAGTTACCGACCTTTATTTACTTGCTTTCTAGAAATTATTCAAAATAATTTAGATATTCACACTAGGGTGTCTCATAATTTTTTTTTACCGTTTTTAGCCTAGACATGAGTACTCGACTACTGCGGCACCCATGAAGGGTACAAATACATGACCGTACTTCTATAGGCTTATCAACCAGCATCGGCCCCGCCTCAGTATGACCTGCGACGACGCACCGTCGCATGCGACACGCCTTAACGCGTATCAGAGTTCGCACGCGTCACACCGCGCACCGCAAGTTGCCGCAAGTTATCACGTCAAAAAACTCCTATAGGCCAAGTTTTAGTAAATTTTGACGGTTCCTAATAGTGGACCACCCACCCAAGTGAAGTGGTCAGTTTCCAAATGATTAACTGTATTTCATAAATGAATTAGCTAACTCTTTCTATATTCAGTATAAAGCATTACTCATTGTTTACCCTTACCATGAATCCTGCCTCAGATAACCATAAACTGTGGAATTAGAGCCTGCCAAAATCTCGTTTGTCCCGTTTTTCGCTTCATTAGCTGCGCTTTCACCAGCTTTTGCTCAGAGCGAAGAAGATGAATCAGGACCAAATTACTCCTATGAAAACTACAAGACTCAGGCTATCAAACTGTTTATCTTATGTTCGCTAAAGTTCTTTTTGGAGGTAAGTTAATGGGGTGTGGCACAACCTCAGAAAAGCTGTGGCTGCCACAGCTTTCTAGAGGTTGTGCCACACCCCATTAACTTAAATTCAAACGTTCAATTCTCGTCTTTATTTATATGGTTGCTATTGCTAAACCTTCTTCTTCACATTGCAGGAATTACACAGGAATTACACACTTGCGTTACTCAGGTAAAGATAAAGTTTTTCCTTAGCTATGCAAATGGAAAACGCTGCGAAAATATTGGATTACGGTCATATGCTAAGTCTGCGCTACTACGTGAATCGCGAGGGAAGGCGGCAAGAACAAGTATATTCGTCAGCCTAATCCTAGCAAATTTTACAAAAGTGGTTTGAGCCTGATTGGTCTTCCCTAGTCTGAGATATAGCCAAGAATGGGACAAACAAGATTTTGGCTTGGTCTTAATTTGGAGTTTGAAAGTTAGTTCAAGTGGGATTCCTAATGAGCAAAGAAGTAGTAGTACTTTGTATTGAGTGGAATAAATGGGGAATTTTCAAGATTTTTAAGGGCCGAGACAGGAATTTCTTCGGTAAAGTTCGTTTTTGACTGCTATCATATTTCAGCTCAAAACTTCACTTGGAATACGAATTGGGCAGACTATTAATAGCCAACTTGTAGAACTTGCTTTGCTCTGTCGAATGATTTCCTGAGCTACCCTAAAATCTTACAGATAAGTCCGCTTTTTTGACAAGGAAAGTCGATGAAAATGCACTCTCGCACCGCCAAGAATCTTGCAGATAAGTCCTCCTATCAGACAAGTCCGCCTACAGATAAGTCCGGACTTATCTGACAGGATTTCGGGTAGTTATAATGGAAAAAAGCGGACTTATCTGACGGCGAACTTATCTGTAGACGGACTTATCTAATGTGAGGACTTATCTGTGAGATTTTAGGGTACATCAATTGATGGAAATACACAAAAAGACGGCGGTTATAGTAAAACGGTGGAAAATTATGAGACACCCTAATACATATCTACTAAGAAGTTATTTTTCAAAAGCGAAATTTTCGAAACAAATTCTGACAAATGTTATCCAACGCTCGAATCTTCATGATGATCTTGTGAAAGTCAGCACTCCTAATTAAGTCGATTAAAAAACTAGGAATCGAAAAGAAAAGAGTTAGTAGTCATGATGTGAGAAAATGGAGTTTGAAAATCTCTTGGAAAGTCCTGCAATGTTACTTATCTCGTGCCCACCGATGCCTTATCAATCTGACCCGATAGACGCGGTTTGCGTCTTTCTCGTAAATTGAGAGTTTCGCGGAAGACTAGAGATATGCGAATGAAAAAATGTCACGATATTCTTTCGGCAGCACAGGTCGCGCAGGCTATGCTCGGCAGGCTTCTCAGGCGCTCCCAACGACGTTCTGTAAGGCCAACGCACCTCCAAACGATGCCTACGTAGCGCTGTCGCTTTTGTTCACTTTGAAGCTATAGCTGCTGTGTGAGTGTTACAGCGGTTCCGGTTCCTTCTACCTATACATCTCGCACGATAAATTACACGTTTGCATGGTGCACTTGCATTGATTGTGAAGGTGGAAGACCCGTTGAAAGTTCTGCTATGAACGCACGAATAACTATCGATGGTGCCCTGTGATGAAGTTTACAATACTGCAAGTGACTCAGAGTGTTTTCATCAATAATGAAAAGGGGAGCATTGTAAAGTTCAGCAATAGTAAACATGAGCCACACTATCGCGGCCGGAAAGACGATAGATAAAGACGTTTTTATCAGGGATTTAGAAGATTGCTTCACTAGAGGAGTTGCAAGTTCGTGAAGATCATTCACCTTGCAAACCACAAAAATAAGATACAAAAACAACTGCCAGCAATTGTTTTGAAATTCGTAACTTATTCGAAAGGAACTGAGAAAGTCACATTGTGTGAAGCCATTCTCTTGTGGAAAATTGCGCGTTCTCAAGTGAAAGGTGTCGTATATTATCAAAAGAACTGTTTTTGCGCAAAATTATGGACCGCTTTGATCCACGTAGAAAATGACAGCGTATAATAAATATATGGAAGAACATATAAGATGAAAAACAACTCACGCCTTGATTTTTGTTTTGAAACAAGTGATGATCTCATCTACGAACTTTCTACGATTCTCGAAACAAACGCGGAGCTTTTCAGGATGTTCAGTCAGATCATACTATAAAATTCTTTTTGAACAAAGGAATAAACCTAGCTCTGCATCAAAGTAAACGCTGTACCCACCGTCTTGATCTCTTTCCAGCATGGATCAAAACAATCATACGCTTGCTGTTTCGCTGATTCGTAGCAGTCGGACATCTCTTGACAACTGCATTGACGTACGGTTTCTTCTCGTTGAGAGCCATGTAACACTTCTATGGTCGATTTTGAGATCTAAAATATTCGATTAATAAATAATTTTTCCACACCTTTTGCTTTTTATACTCATTGCTACTAACAAGGAAAGCTACCTATCTTAGCTCGGCCTTTTAGCAAGGGACATATATATTGAAACAGAATCAGCTTCAAACACTGATTCCAAATATGTTATTCATAGCTGCCATTCCGAAGCGAGTTATGGACTTTTCCTGCGCCAAATTGGCATATTCTTCGACTCACTGGCATCACGACCATCTAAGTGCTAATACACTTGCGATAAGCTTCTATTTGGTTTGGATTTGTGTTATTTCGATCTTTCAGCACACCTACTCCTTGCAGATTTTTATCTACAGATAGACTTTCCATGTTCGGTAGTATGCTACTTTAGCGCAGGAAAAAGCCCATAGCTCGCTTCGAAATGGTGCGCGGCAGCTAGATAGCATATTTGGAATCAGCGTGTAAAACTGATTTAAAGCATATATGTTCCTTGCCAAAAGGCCGAGCAGGTTAGGTAGCTTTCCTCATAAGCAGCAGAATAATAAATTGATTTCATCCGCGAAGTTATGTGTACGTCTGATATAATAAGTGACGTATTGTTCCCGTAGAGGTTCATACGCATATAATAAGTGACGTATTGTTCCCTTAGAGGTTTAAAAGCAATCTAATTTGTAGAAATTGATGAGCAAGATTCATGGGAATATATCTCAAGTACCAGCAACGCAAACTGCTTGGGAGCTATTGCAAATGCAATATAATAAAAGCGTATTGAACCTCTGCTTAACCGCCAATATCTGGAAAAGGAGCAAAGTTCCAGTTTTGTCTCAGCCATCTCTTCGGCAAACTCACTAGCACTACCGAAAAAAGAACCTTGAGCTTCCAAAAATAGTTTCGACCGAAAATCTTTGAGGTAAGAAATGAGTTTTAGGTTGAGTGATATGTTAACTTTTTCGAAGACTTAAGGTGCTCAGTATTTGCAGTCAGAGCAAATGCACTGTTTTTACATTTATGTCACTGCCGTTTTATCTAGAACACCTCGAATCTTTCCTTGTTATTTATATCATGTTTTCTTTCAGTGCCTTCTCGAACACCACAACTGGCACGTGATAAACTAGTCCATCCACATGTCTTTCGCTGAGTTTTTATAGTCAATTACATGTGATTTAGGAAAAGTCCATGCAAACTAATCATTCGTTAAAAGTGCCAAGAATACTTCCTTACCCCCATTCTTTTCCTTTTATGAAATCTACGCTTGTGAACACAATAAATCCGTTAATAATTGGTACAAATTTGTGATTTAATTTTTGGGCAAGATTTGTCACCTGGAGTTGAAGGTAGGATGCAAATAAGGTTTGTATGGCCTATCTTTTGATTAGTGACAAAAGTTACATTCCAGTACGATAATAGCATCTACTATATAAGCCCTAACCAATATGATACAACGCCTTCGTCTTTGCTAACTCGAAAGAAAGAAGAAAAATTAAAAAGATCCCGTGAACCGTCAGCTAATTACTAGCCTTGACCATCCAACGACCAAGGATAGAAGAAAGAGGAAACTCGGGAAGGAAACCGTGGCTGGCCTACTGGGTGTACCGGGTTCCTTATGCAGAAGTCCGAAGAATATCCAGTGCGGCCAGCCGAACTCGCAGTCTTTGGCAAGAAAAGTGATGACCTCTATCAGTGGAACACGAAGTACATATAACTCCATATCAAATATACAACACAAAAGAAAGCACAAGTGTTTCTGCATTAAAAGAACTTACCTATGAGTTTTTATTCTTACTTCTACTTTTTGACAAAAACACCTTGAAGAAAAAGAGAGAGAATGAAAGAAATAAAGTGACAGAAAACAGCCAATTCGGAGGACGCCAAGCTGCACTACCACTGTCTTTCCTTGGTGATTATGGTGCAGGGTACATTTTTTCTAAATGAGGACGATGAGAATAGAGATCAGTTACTCAACAAATGCCTAACAGCTCATCCAATGACGCTTTAGCTACCAAACAGAATGCCTGAATTTAGTGTGTGGGACAAACTTCAAGCAAAGTGGCGAAATCTTGAATTTCACGATATCGTATACCGTAGTTCGCAGGTTGTCAGTACGATGCTGAAGGATAAGGAACATGCCATATAAAACATCTTTTATGACTTCAAAAACATATGTTTTTCTGTGACGATGTCATTCAAAGAGAAAATAATCAACGAGCTGAAAGAATTGTCACTTCTAACTCAATATGCAAGTTGCAAACCACGCGCACTATTCAACCAGCTTGCATTCCAGGATCTCTCCCTTTCGTCTCCTTTGATTTGATTGAATATGTGATAGTACACACCTCTACAGTTTGTTACGCTAGAAAAGGTTCTTGTGAGGAGTTACCGCGCCACGAAAAATTCTTCTTACAAGGCTAATTTGAATTTTTAAAAATTTTGAAGATTATTTTAATTATTAACAAATATAAACAAGTCACTTGCACATTTTTATAACCCATATAAGTAACTTTCAAAAATTTCTCGATCCATTCTCGTGGAGGGGGCCTCTCCCTCGGACCGCCACTGAGAGCTACTTGTAGGGTGCCTCACGGTCAAAGGAGCTGTTTTCTTTGTTGGGTTCCAAAACATGTAAACGGCACACTTTTTGAAAACAGAAAGTATCCACTGCGCAGCGGCGAACTGATGCGGAGCGCCTCCATTTTCAGAGTCAACAGAGGTATAAATATGTGAGCGTGACTGAAAAATCTTCTTCGCGCCCTTTCTTTGCATTTAGGGCTGATAGGCACACAAAATGATTTTGGGAAGTTTCCCATAAAACATTTCGAGTGCCTGGGTAACCCACTTTCTTTTATAGAAAAAAATTTTTTTTTGTCATCCCTCCCTAGTCGAACGAAAAGTTTTGGACCGCCACTGCCACAATTTTGAGCACATCAGAAACAACTTGGAGGTCGTACGCCGCACATCTTCATCTAGGAAAAAATTTCTGTAGCATCTTTCACAAAAAATCCCTATGTTGCTAAATAAGAATCCTTTTAACAAAGCTCATGGTGTCTAGCGAGATAGAAAAATATATTTCAAAATATCTGGTGCAACTGATTATCGGTCCTCATTCACTTCAGCAACAAAATAATGGCAAAGAAAAACACGGTTAATTGAAAGACTCAGCTTACCAAGTCGATAAATTTCAGTGAATGAACAGTATAAGCTAATACACATAATAATTGCAGCGATTGCAGCATCCTCAAATTTGGAAAGAATAAAGCGACAACGACGGCACTCTGTGACCGCAGACGCGAAGTATTTGAACGGACGTGATGTCGAGCAAAGTGAAGGTAGAAACCTGATTGAAACGATGATAATGATGTGTGTGCTGTGGTGAAGAGGTAACCACCACCGTGGTCTGTCTATGCTACCATCTTCGAAACATTCAATACGCCGTACGAATCCTGTTGCCAATTTAGATTGAAAAATGTTTACTCCTGCCAGGCTGGACTTGTGGTAGGAGTTCGCTGAAGATGGCATTACAATTGACACAAAAAGTCCTATTCTATTGATTGTCACTGTGGTATTCCCCAAACCTGTCTTATGCCGACTACCTACTCAATCTTCAAAGTTTATAACCAGGGCTTGTAAGAGGTGTGGCACGCAAGTGCCGGATACAACCCCCCCCCCTCTATTCCATAGGCAGGTAAAGGCTCTACCATGCATAATTAGGCACATATTTGTAATTATCATGTCAAGTAACCACCATCGGCCAAGTTTTAGCAAATTCTGAGGATTCCCAATAATGGACAACCCAAGTGAAATGAACATTTTCGAAGATGAATAACTATATCTCAAAAGTGAATTAGCTAACTCTTTTTGTACTCATTACAAAGCACTACCTATTTTCTTATACCATAAATCCTGCTTCAAATATCCATCAAACTATGGAATCAAAAGCAGGCCAAAATCTCGTTTGTCCCATTTTTCGCTTCCAATGGCTGCGCTTTCACCAGCTTTTACTCAGAGCGAAGAAGATGAATCAGACCCAAATTATGTATTTTGGCTAAAATTCTTTTTGGAGGCAAGTTAGTGGGGTGTGGCACAACCCCTAAAAAGCTGTGCGGCCACAGCTTTTTAGGGGTTGTGCCACACCCCATTGATAAGTGTTTTTCAACGATTAAAAAACAGCTAAAGTTTTTTGGTGAAAGCCATGAGCAATGAAAAGTTCAAATTTGGCAAATATACAACGCCATACCTCGAGAATTAGTCAATCAAAAATACTTCTTTGTGTTTCCCTTGAATGTGAACATTCCTTGAAGTCAGTACACTCAATATCATGCTATTCATGCACTCCCAAGTTGGACTTTGGAGCACATTATGCATTGAAACCCAAATGACTTTACATTTTTAACTGCTCATAACTTTTTCCAGAGAACGGCATCGCAGATACAGATGATACATTTGGAATCAGCTCATCAAGACGCATCTAATGATATGCGGTTCATTCCAATTCGCCATCTTGTTGGGATCGTTCCCATGTTGGGTGCATGGCCGCTCTAGCATAGACTTGGATAATGTTGTCTGTGAGACCATTGTACAGATGCTGTGTTCACTCTCCACTTGATACCATCAACTTGCGTGCCTCTTGTCCCAGTCATGACTTCATCACGACTGCAAGGTCGCGGCGAACAGCTTTGGCGAGACTGTCGCCTTGATTCCCTTCCCAAGTGGGATGGTCAATGGGCATGAATGCACGTCGTTGTAAAGGCCAAAGGCACCTCCATCCAGAATCTTGACCTCAGTGTTTTGGTCGTTTCGGGGCCTTCTCATGTCCCTGACTCGAATATGAGGTCGAGAATCCACGAAAACCCTAACTATTCCCCAATTCGGAGAACCCGCAGGCCGACTCTCCGGAACGGCGATTGGATGGGCGGGATGGGCGGGCACTACTGGATTGGGGCGGTGCCGATTTGGGGTCTTCTTGCATTTTTGCCATCCCGAAGCGATTTTCCCTCTTTCAAAGCGCATTTTGCACCGTGACTTCGGCATTGGCTTGATAGGAATCCCCACTATCGTAAGCTGCCAAGGGCTCAATATCCCTAACTTTGGATGGACGATGCCTTCAAAGCAGTCATTTAATGTCCTCGCGTAAACAGTTTCCTGATCGACTAGGCGCTTAATGGCCTTGTTCTGATGCTGTCGAAGCCTTTCTCGTAGGCTACATAGGATAGGACGAGAGCCAGTCCGAACTCTCGCTAGACTTATGCGACGAAATTGTTTTGGTCCATGCAATCCATGAATCCTTCGCGAAATCCAGCTTATTCTTGGGGCTGGGCTTCATCCAATGTCTAGATATGCGAGCGAGGACAATCTTCTTGAAAGCTTGTATAACACACTCAGCAGGCATATTGGACGATGGTTCCGAAGATCTTCCTGTTCGCCCATCTTGAAGAGATGGACGGTTCTCCACTGATCGGAAATCTACTGCTTCTGAAGGTGCGGTGCTAGATGCAATGCGAGATTCTCGTTCACACGCTGTCCTCCAGCACGCAGAAGTTCGGCGAAAGGATGATTTGATCCTGGACGTCTTCATGGTCTGAATCGCCGTGCGCGCTTCAGCAGGTAGAAATTGAAGTGATACTTCTCCAGTGGGAACAACGGGCATCGCCACGGGTGTCGATAAGCGGAGGAGGTTGGTTTAGAAGTTGTTTACGATAGGTTCCATCTTGTATCGGGAAGATGCCGGGGTCCCGTCTTCGTTCAGTAATGCTGCCAGCGGTAGATATTCCCAGAGATTGTTTCGACACTTCTCGAGACTCCATCTTCTTTTGGCTGCTTCTACCTTAGCTCGCACACTCCCGAATATCCTCCTGCAAAGCTGTTCTGCAAGCTGTTAGTGTTCGCTATCCATCCCTCGAGATGTGTGTTCACTTCAGCCGCAGTAACCCAAGCTCTAAACTTACCGCGCTTGATTCGAGGTTTACAATGCTATAACCTGGGAAACTGCGCTCAAAGGACTTGAGAGGTGTGGTTTGAGCGGTTGACCAAAAGGTACACAGTTTATTATTGTACAATGGCCTACGTTTCGGCGCTGTCGCCTTCGTCAGAGCCTTAGCCAGAAGCAAAACGGAAGTCGAGAGACCGCCGTGTACCTGGACAATACTACGCTCAAAGGGTTAGCAGTTTTCTTATAGATAGGTTTTTTTAGTTCAAGACCACTGCAGAATACATCGTTCAGCAAACCTGCATTTGGTCTTCGTGTTTTGATACCTGGATAAATTAACTTAGATCAATTCAAAAGTAGGTCAAGTAGTAATGCGAGTGCATGCACTTTTGTTTTTGATGTAACTGGTGTCTAAAAACTGTGAAGACTATGCACTCAACTTCAGTATATGCCACTGTTTGGTGCGAAATCATAAAATTGGTAAAACCATATTGGACCTTTCGTTGTGCATTAAGTGACGAAATAGCTGATACATGCGAAATAACTACTTCGATTCGATCTGATCAATTTGAAGAAACCGGAATTGTTTAGCATTACGAGTGGTACTTCTACCCACCGTTCACTTACTCCCTGTCTCTTCGAATAAAGTAATAAGCAGACGAAAGAGTGGCTTTTTTCAAAAATGATTGGACCCGAATATTCGGTGCAGAAGTTCTTTTCGTTTTTCAGACCTATCCGCCAATCCCGTAGAATAAAGATAAACAAACACTTCAAGCCGTATCTTATGCAAGACTTCCTTTGAAAATTTGAAAACTTCACTTAGCTGATAGCGTTCACAAAAAGTTATCAGCGATCAAACTTCCGATACAGTTCGGGACACCCCGTTCTCGTTAATATGTAAGTCCATTTGTGTGTTTGCAACGTTCTCGAATTTCTTAGAAAATAGACCTCAATGGAATGCGAAGGGCAGTTTAAAAGAGGATGACAACGCTTTGACACAAATCTGACAATGGCCTACGAAAACCGATCAAAAAAATTAAATCAAAACAGATTACAAAATTCTAGTGATGTGCTAGTAGTTCGCGTCTTGCACCAACAACGTTTTTTGGTTTTCTGATAAGTTTCCAAATGATGTCATGTCCTCGCTTTTCGTGGCAAACATATTCGTGTCTTTTTTCACACTTTCCTCCTGAAAAATCTTACACGAAACCTTTCTGGGTTATTGCAGCAAATCATCTGTAAGACTATAATCTCAAGTGTAAGATCTTCACCACAGAATACAACGGGCTACAAGGAAAGTGTAGGGTTACCTTGACGGAGAACACGACTATCGCAATTACGCATGTAAATCATTATGAAAGGTCACAGATCGCATTGGTTCTCGTTTTCACATCAATGTACTGTAAAATCGCATAAAGGGCGACAGAAGAATGGACTGCTACTTGCATTACTACTGCTGAGCGAAAGAAATTTTGCCTTTTTTTCTGAGATAGTTTGGAGATGTGACTAATTCAATAACCATTTGAAATCGTCTAAGACGGCAAATGAAAAAGATCAAAGGAAGCCAAAAAGCTTACAGTCAAGCTCAGATGAAAACTCAGTATGATTATAGCGGGAGTCTTAGAGAAAAGTCGTCTAGAACTCACATCATCATGACCTTTGAACTGTCTCTTTTCATCCAATGTCCTCGCCAAAGCCTATAAGTGGGAAAGCAGCAAGATTCATTCCCTCAAATGCCTCATCGGTGCGAAAAACGACAAAGTGCCGTATTTAACTGTGGTATGGATAAATTGCACATTTTCCAATTTTCACGCTCTCTCTAAAGAAAGCTACCCGAGTCTGCAAAATGTTAACCTATCAAACGTGATAAGTAAACTACCCATTTTTGTGCGGTATTACACAATACTATGTTAGGATGACTATATCAACAGCAAGTCCGAATTCTCCTTCGCAATACTATCAGGTTGGTATCAAACCATTTCCTTCTTTCATGCAAATCTCCATAAACCTTTTTTTTTGGCTTTCTTTTCTATGATTTTCGGGTAAGTATTTCAAAGCCTTTACTATCATATACCACTCACATCTAAATGAGATGGATGCCGTATTGAAGGGCATAAAACGCCGATTCCAAAACTTTATGGACGAGGAGCTATGAGCGTTTTTTAGAGCCAAAAATTGAATGTACATCGTGGAATGAGTTGCTAAAATCTTACTAGCCTCAAATAAAGAAACCAAGTGTGATATATTCTTTATTTTAGTGTATTTTTTGGATGAAATGCTCTGACGTTTATCACTGCTCCATTGAAGAGTTAGAAAAAGTATTATGGCTATTTTCGTCCTACTTGCACATTCATTCTTCTGCTCCAACAATCGCTCATGACTCCTCGTCCATAAAACTTCTGCAGATAAGGAAGGCAAATTTGGAATCAGCATTTTATGCCCTTCAGTATGGTGTACATCCCATCTAAAAAGGCCACTTCGGACTAAGCATGCATTCCTTGTCGGATTTTTCTACTATCAGTGAAGGACGGTATGCCCGAATATGGCTAAATTTTCAA